TCCGGTACGGGCGCGACACTGAGGGTTGCGATCCATTGCCGGACATGAAAAAAGACAAAAAGGAAAAAAAAAAAAAGTCATATATAGTATGTATATGATTATGTACATGTGAGCAAAAGATAACAAAGAAGATTATTTCTCATACACACACACATTCCCACATGCACGCACATGCATGCACACACACGGAGACGAGTTTGACGACAAGCAAACCAAGAACTGTATTCACATAATATAATGTAACACTCTTAGAATTATGACATAGACTAAGGGCATTTTCTTAGGTTCGATCTTCTCGCACTCTCTCCCTTGCCCCATACCTGGCTTGTCAGAACAGCCAATGGCCAGCAGATAGGAGGGCCAGGGGGAGAGGTGGAGGAGAGAGTGGGAGGGAAAGAATCCCTTTCTGCAATGGAGGCCTCAATACCCAACAGCTGCACACATCTCTGTGAAGAGTTCCTTCCTTCATTCATTCAACCAAGATTTCTCGAGCACCTCTTGTGTGCCAGGCATCATGCCCTGGTCTCGCTGAGCACTAAGCTCTAAAAGCTTAGTGGGAAGAGCACATGCAGGAACGATGACAATACCCAACAGCTGCACACATCTCTGTGAAGAGTTCCTTCCTTCATTCATTCAACCAAGATTTCTCAAGCACCTCTTGTGTGCCAGGCATCATGCTCTGGTCTCGCTGAGCACTAAGCTCTAAAAGCTTAGTGGGAAGAGCACATGCAGGAACGATGATTGTAATGCTGTGCAACAAGTGCTTGGCAGGTGTCTGGGGAGCACGGAAGAGGGTCTCTAGCCCAGCCTGGAGGAAGAGGCAATCAAGGAAGGCTTTCCGGAGGAGGTGGCATCTAAATTGAGTCTTAAAGGATGAAGAGATGTCAGCTGGGTGACAATTTGAGGAACTGCAGTCCAAACAGAAAAGTCCAACTGAGCAAAGTCACAGAGACAAGAAAAAGCTCTGTGTATGCAGGGAATGACAAGCCATTTGAGGTTGTGGAAATGAAACATGAGGGACAGGAGAGAAAGCTGCAGAGAGGGGCTGGCACCAGATCCCAAAAGGCCTTTTGTGCTGTTTCAGAAGCCTGTATGTGACAGGGAGCCACTGACAGTGTTAAAGCAGGGGAGGCCAAGCAGCCTGCATTATTTACCTCCGGAAACCTCCTGTCATGGTGACTAAGGCATCAGGAAGAAAAGCCCAGACAGCCTCTTTAACCAGCACGCTGACCGCCTCTGCCTCTGCCCTGGTCACACAGCTGACAAGGTCTTCATAATAGAGGAATCCTGAGGGACCATTTGACAGGTTAATGGAGAGAGTGACACCCATGTGAGACAACCCACCCTCAGTGGGAGGGGATTCTGCCCCAAGATAGGACTGACAAGGCCACAGGAACCAATACCAAATTCTGTTTCCATAGAGACAAAATAGTAGTCCATATAATTCATTTGGTTGTGAATTTTTCATGGTAACGATGGCTTGTTGCTTTCTGATTGAGAGCCTTACAATTTCCTGACTAAGAAAGAGACAATATCACATATCCTTCTGGAATCCAAATTGTTCAAATCTGATTTCTGACAGGAGAACCAGCCTTCTTGATCAGTAAGCTATGCCCTACGATTTAAAAAGGTAATGCATAAAGATTTGGGATGGGAAGATTTAGAGTTGGAAGGTGATGGATTGATTAAAAAATTAAAGTCAAGAATAGGAAGAGAGTAGATTTGTGTCTGAAGCAAGGTAGAAAATGTCTCGGGTGGTTTTGGCGTGACCACCACCAATAAATGAAAACTCAGACAGAGTCCTTCTGATGAAGAGTTAATGACTCGGTTACTTCCACTGAGCTGTGTAGGGGGAGGAAGGAGTAAAGGAAATTGGAGGTTTATCCCTGAGAAACGGGATGAAGGATTGGAGGGAGATGCACTGGGTGGGGAGAGCCACAGAGCCTGGGGGACATCTAATTATGCTATAATACAAGACACTGCTCTCCTTTCTAGGATCCCCAAGAATTCTGCTTCAATCTTTCTAACAACAGGGAGCTCTGATACCTCCGGAAGCAGCCCATTTCCTAACTGTAAACTCTGTCTGGGCAGTTCTTTCTTTTGATAAGCCTAAGTCTACTTCCCTGCAGTCTGACCCACCACTGGCCCTCTGAAATAACACAGAGTAAACCTATTGGTCCTTGTTTCTCACCCCAAGGCAGTGAATACACCTATAAATCGTGTCCAATGCCAATCCACACTGCTTGTGGAACACTACTCTCTTTATGTCAGTATTGTTTCTCTCTCTCTCTCTCTCTCTCTCTCTCCTTTATTTGTAAGAAGTCACATTTTCTTTTGCAACATGGGCATTTTTGTGAATGTGGAGAGTTTGATCTAAAAATCAGTGTTCCATTAGGCTCTAATGCAGACGTTGTTATCATGACTGATATTCAAAGTACAATTCACTTAATGACTGTAAAACTCTTATGCTTATTCAGTGCTGAGTACATAAACCAAAAGTCATGGTTAATAACTATTTCTTTAGGAAAATGTGCAGATATCAGGAAAGAACATGGAGGTACTATAATGATTTGTTGATATGCATGAAAGCAATCTAATTGGCTTTCCTTTTGGGTATGGCAGGGCAGGTAACTTATTACAAAAACCTGACTTTTCAAGACAAATGTGGCATGTGAATGCTCAGGCCTCAGGGAACTGTGATCAACTACAATTATAAATAAAACTGGATAAGATTTTCCATCTGACCCATGAATCATACTTTCAGCATATTCAATTAGCTTACCCTTTGCAGTATTCTAAGATAGTCCCACTACCAATTCTGTTCATTGTCATGCTTCTTGCATATGACAAGTTTTTGGGGGGTATAAGAATGATGGGAAGGCATTCCTTGATTTCTACATAGAACCTAAAGCATTAAATACTCTGATGGTAATCATGATAGATTAAATGAGTAATAGCTGCTTCATTCACTGGGTTGGAGTTGCCCAATGGGAAGAGGAAAAATCCAGTTTATGAAACTAGGGAATTGGAAGCTCCTTAGATCCTGAGAGCACTTGACATCATTTGACGGGTGAAACACTACACTGCCTCCCAGTTTCTAAGTGTTGAGAGTCTTTACTGTCATCCCAACCATTTACTTGCCGTTTATATTTAACATTTATGTAAATTTCTTTTTAATGGCATCTCTAGAGCTGGTATAAATCATGCTTATTAAATGTGCAATTTTAGGAGCCCAAAATATAAATTTAAGAAGAGTCTTTTTTCTCTTAGACTTATTTTCTGCGTGGCATCCCGACTTTTATTTTCTGTGCGTAGCCTGCTTCTTAGCCATCTTTCAGAAGTTAGCAACTTTACAAAGGACGAATAAGGGGTCTTCTGTAGTAAGATGGGACCCACCACAATCTTATTTGCTTCCTCTCCTCTTGCCTGTTTTGTTGTTGCTGTTGTTTCTGTCATCACTTAAACACAAGACAGCTGTTTACATTTTTTTTTCCTGGCCTCCTCTGGTAAAAAAGTCCCTTACTTACATACCACTAAAAATTTTGGTGATTTCATCATTCTCTGTAACTCCAAAAGCCATATTTCTGGGGACTGTGACTGTGACTCCCTTTCAAATAATAATTATATTGTATTTCTATTGCATGTTGAAAGTAAACATTTAAAACACACACAATTTTTTTTTTGACCCAATGTATTGGCAATTTTTATTTTTAAAAAATTTTCAGGGACCCTCCATAAATGGAAGTGATCAAGCCACCTTCAAGCTCTGGGAAGCCCTGCCAGGCTTTCAGATGGGTAATAACAGCTTTGTGTCTCCCCACAGTCTTCTCTTCTCAGGTTTGAGTCCTAGTTGGGTAAATCAACCCTGTATCTAGACTTCTACCATTTCCCTCCTATTTTCCTGGTGTTTTACAGTTTCTAAAGCACACTCACATCTGTGCCAGTCAACAACTCTAGTTTGTTCAAGTGTCAAGTGTCTTTACTCCCCAATCTTCCATGTTGACTTCCTTCTATTTTTGACTCCTCACCCATGTCTCTTACTCAGGGAGACAGCCAACGTCCAAATGTCTAGTAGAGTAAGTAAGAACCAAATCCCCAGTGCAACCTAGTCTAACATCTGCATGAAGGAATAATAACAGCCACCATGAAGAGCACCTTTACTCTGTGCCAGACACAGTGCTAAGGGCTTTGCCTGAATTCTTTGATTTATTCAGAAAATAAGTAGTAATGTTATCTCCCTTTTACAGATGAAGTAACTAAGCCTAAAGATTTTTAACTAATTTGCTCAAAATCACACAGCTGGAAAGCACTGGAGCCAGGATTTGGAACCAAGCCTCAACAGACACCAAAAAAGTGTCCTAACTCACCCAGATTGGAGTTGATGTATAACTGACTCAGATCTCTACCACAGCCCATAGCAGCAATGATTTTTAGGAGACACAGTTTACCTGCTTTCTGCATTCGTGTAAATTTCAGGCTTTTGTCCGACCTTATTGTACTCAGAGTTCTGAAACCCATCCTGAACCATCTCTCAGATGTCTTCAACCCCACTCCAAATACGGAAGTAAAGAGCTGACACGGAGGGAAAGGCATGCCATTAGTTTCTTAAATAATCATTATGACAATGAAGTGGTACTTTAGAAGGTCTCAGGCAATGAAAAAAAAGTATAAGCAAATCTCTGACCCAGTTTCTCCTGAATATGACAAGCAGATGGGAGATAGTAATTTTCCAGAGGCATTTTTGTTTCAGGTGAGTTCTTTTGAGACATGTGTTATTGTACAAAATGAAACAAGAGAGGGAAAGGCTCAAGCATCTGTGTAGGGCTCATGTACCACCTAATTGATGGATTGCCTGTGCTTTTGATGCATGATACCTTATCCCGATCAGGCTCTCCCATTTGCCTAAAGTCTCTTGCACGTGATCATACTCTGCATATCTTCCCTCACATTTTAGAGAGGGACGTAGGTTATATAAACTCACACGTAGGTTATATAAATTCTCCACCATTACACAGGTGATAAATGCAGAGCCAGACTTAAACCCCAGTCTATTTACACTCCAAGGCTGCACTCCTCTCAGAGCCACGTTTTAGGCCTAACCATTTTCTTTTTTTTTTTTTTTTTTTTTTTTTTTTTTTTTTTTTTTTTTTCACACGTAGGTTATATAAATTCTCCACCATTACACAGCTGATAAATGCAGAGCCGGACTTAAACCCCAGTCTATTTACGCTCCAAGGTTGCGCTCCTCTCAGAGCCACGTTTTAGGCCTAACCATTTTCAATAAATATATGTAAAATCACTTACCTTGAAGGACTGATATCGTTCATCATTTAACACATTTTTAACTTCAGAACTTTCTCCATCTTCAATGATTTCCTACATGAACAGTTGAAAAATATTTTAAATTAATGATGTTGTGCAATCACAATCTGAGACTCTCAAATTCGTGGATCTAGTAGCTTGATTCTCATAAAATGCATAGCTGTTGCATGCAGCATGTTTCCCTAGCTGATAAGGAGAAAACAAGACATTTCCCTGTAATCTTGAAAATGTTAGCTCATCGTATATACAAAGACAACTTTATAATCTTCAGGGACAAAGATACAGAACAATTAGGGTCCAAATGTATAGAACCTCACACCAAAATGTTCACTGAAAAAAGTATGCCCAAATATGTGTGATATTTTTCTTTTCAATGGATGCAAACTTGCTGAAAGGGACAAAGATACAGAACAATTAGGGTCCAAATGTATAGAACCTCACACCAAAATGTTCGCTGAAAAAAGTATGCCCAAATATGTGTGATATTTTTCTTTTCAATGGATGCAAACTTGCTGAAATGAGAAGACTTTTCTACTGAGCAGGTTAATTTTGGACTCACTGAAAAGCTAATGCACGTTCCAGCCTTTTTGATGTTTGGCTCAGAGCCCACCCTCCTCTGAGTGGATTTGGGATCATTTTCCTTGAATAATTCACCTTCCTCTTGACTATACTGATACTCACTGCCGGATAACCACCTTGCCTTGCTGGGGAATCCTTAAATATCATTAAATAAATAAACACTGCCCTTGGCTCTCTTCCTGGAACACGCAGGTGGAGATGCAGAATCAGAGCCACCACATGTCATACCCAGCACTGTTCTGGAGATGATGTCCCCTGAGTGGAGCTGAGGTTCTCCACATAGCCTGTGTTTGAAGTTACATCATTCCCCTGCTATCAAGCTTTTAGGTCCCTTGAGTTTTTCACTATGATTAATAACAATAAGGGAGAGTTCTGCTAGCTGGCCCCATGCAGCTCCGCCTGTGATAAATTGGGGCATGAATTATACATATTGCATCTATCTCTCTCTGTATACCTATGTCTACATACATCTATATATGTCTTGATAGAGAGATATACACACCCACACCGACATGACGGGGGCGGGGAGAGAGAGAGGCAAATAAGTCATGAATACCACATCTACATAATTGACAAGAAAATCTGTTATCTGCGCTTCTCTCTCTCTCTCTCACTACCTACCTATTAGGAGGTGGAACAAATCCCATTTCACCCTTACCTCTATGACACACTTCACATTGTCCCCCAGGCAGGGAATTCCTTCTGTGTCCCTCATGCTGATGATTGTGAATGGCAGAGATTTCAGTACAGAAGCTGCTCTCTTAAATGCCAGATAGGAGTCTTCATTTTCTCTAAACTCATAATTTTCAGCCAGTATCTCAAAGGCATCCTGAAGAATACAACCAGATAAGCAAAAGGTCTGTTTTTGAGCCCCTCAGCCAGAGTCAAGATGGGGTCTCCTGTACCTTTGCAGCCCTCCCTTGTGGGATTGAATGGGGTTGAAATGAAAAGATGCAGCCGTTAGATATTCATGAATGACTTAACCAAGAAATGATCTGGTGCTCACTGCATCCTGCTAGTCATGACTCAGCACGATCCTTCCCTCTTTGCTATCTTCCCCACAAGCCTGTGGCCAGGGTTCGGCCTTGATCACTGGGCATCCCCGTTTGTTAGCATATACTTGAAACACAGTCAACACCTAACAGAGGCTTGTTGAATGAATGGCTGTAATCAGAGGTCACACAGACCCAAGGCCAGGGTCATTTAAGGGAGTGCCTGTTTGTATCTCTAGGAGAGGAGGAAGCAGCTGCAGCTGTGTGACATCACACTCAGCAAGCCCAGTAGCTACAATTTCCTGGTCTTCCTCGCACACGTGGGGCTGGAAGTCTAGAAATGAGAAGCTTTTTATGTGATATACTACGGCATGTTTTATCCAGCTGACCCCTAACTAGGGGACAAGCAATTGTGGGCTTGTTAGGGACATTTGAAACACAGTTATCAAACTTCAGGGTTGGGTAGGGCTTTAGAGATGAATTAGCTAATTTCTTATTGAATGGGTGAGGAAACTGAGGCTCAGTGAGAGGAAGTGACTTGCCTAAGCTAGTTAATATCAGAGAGACTAGAATCCAGGTCTGCTGACTCTCTGTCTTGTGGTTTCCCAGCAAAAGCTGTTGATGCATTATTGCCATTTCTATTTGTTCTTTCTACATTTTGGACTAATGACCATATTTAATTTTTCAGAACATTTGCTTTTGATCAGTGTTGTGCCCGTAAATGACCACTCTCAATAAATAGTAATCTACCATCTCTAAAGAATATAATCCAAATGTATTTGTCCACTTCCATGAAAGAAGCAGACCCATTCTGGACAGAAAGAAGGACCAGAGATAAGGGTAAGGGGATGGGTAGCTTTGGGGAAAATTCCCTATATTTTCAGAGAAATTAATAATTTAACTTGTACATTCATGCAAAGAAGCTTCGAACCTTTCATTTTCTCTGGGTGTTGTTGAAAAGCCCCATTACCGTGAACATGTGGTTACAGTTGTTTAATGTGGTTCTTCTCTGACACGCATATGGCGAGATCTTCTGTGCAGCAAGTGGCAGAGTCTTCTGGGGGCCTGGGTTGGGACTAGCTAAATAGTCTCTTTTCACCTAAACAAATGCATAAGCATCCATTTTAATAACAATTGATAGCAATAACAATAGATAGGTATGAAGAAAAACATTGGAGGCAGTTTGATGGCAGTTGTCTCTGGAAGAAGAATAAAACTATAGGATACTTAAATTTTATGTTATAGACATCTCTAATATTTTAATTTTCTATTATGAACATGTATTACTTTTGAAATCAAAGGAAAAAACATGAAAAAATACCACCAATTAAATACCATTTTCCTTTTCTGTGAACTTATGTAATTACGCTCCAAGCCCTCTGCCCAAGGGTCTACCACTGTTCGTCAAGGATTTGGAATTGAGAACTTAACCTTATTTTTTTTCCTTTCTGAATAATCATAGTAAGAACAAAAACAGGAACCCTCTACTATTCTGGCTGCTCGAACATCAAGTCTTAAATATTTTGAAATATTTGTGTATAAACATGTTCACAAAAATAGCTACCATTTTTTATTCAGTACCTACTGAGTATCAGACACTGTGATAAGTGCTTTACATGTATGTTATTCTAATCTTCATGACCATCACATGAGGTAGGCATGATTGTGACCTCATATTGTAGAGGAGGAAACTGAAGCTCAGAAGCAAGGAGAGAATCTAGAGTTTATCCAGGTCTGTTGATTCTAACGGTCATGTTCTTAACCATCATGCAAAGGGCAATGAAAATCACAACCATGACACTCACGACAAGCTGGTGTTTTCCTGTCATCTCCACCGGTTTCCCTGCTCTCATACATTCGATCAGCCAGGAGACATCGAGGAGCTCTAGCTGCGAGCTGGCTCTTATTTTCTGTACCTGAAGCCACTCCAGAACGTCTGAACCTGAGTTGTTCTCTGCTACAATGTGGGTGACAGAATCACTGCAAGATGCAAGAAAAATTAAAACAGCATTAGCCGGCCGGCCCAGTGGCGCACTGGAGAAGTGCGCCGCTTGAGAGCGCGGCGGCACTCCCAACGAGGGTTCGGATCCCAAGTGGAGACTGGTTCCCGCTCACTGGCTGAGCGCGGTGCGGGCGCAGCACCGAGGGTTGCGATCCCGTTACCGGTCAGTAAAAAAGACAAAAAGGAAAAAAAAAAAAAAACAGCATTAGCAAGTGTTGTGGTGTCAGTGGAAAACTAAGGTCTAGAGAAGACAGAAGATAAAGCCATTCTTAAAGTAGTACCTAGCCCTCCATGGGTGGTTTTGCTGCACCATTTTGTTTTTATTTGTGGAGAACTTTAATCCACTGGCTTTCAAACTTGTTTGACTGTGATCCAGAGTTAAAAATACATTTTATCTTTTTTTTTTTTTTTTAAAAAAGATGACCGGTAAGGGGATCTTAACCCTTGACTTGGTGTTGTCAGCACCACACTCAGCCAGTGAGCGAACTGGCCATCCCTATATGGGATCCGAACCCGGGGCCTTGGTGTTATCAGCACCGCACTCTCCCGAGTGAGCCACGGGCCAGCAAAAAAAATACATTTTGGATTATGACCCAAAATAAGAATAGAAATAGGTATGGATGTAGATACGCTTGTCTGTCTTAGTGCCTTCAAGCTGTTATAATGAAATACCTTAGACTGGGTACTTTATACACAACAGAAATTTATTGCTCACAGTTCTAAAGGTGGGGAAGTATGAGGGTACTTCAAAAAATTTGTGGAAAGACTCATATTATCTTTCTGTCCTATTTTTCCACAAACTTTTTGAAGTACCCTTGTGTAAGATCCAGGCACCAGCAGATTTGGTGTCTGGTGAGGGCCCGTTTCTCATAGACGGCACCTGTATGTGACCTCACATGGGAAAAAGGAAGATAGCTCTCTGGGGCCTCTTTTATAATCTCATTCCCCAGGGTGGAGCCTCACGACCTTATCACTTCCCCAAGGCCCCACCTTCTAATACCATCACTTTGGTTATTAGGTTTCATGGGCAAACACTCGGACCATAGCAATATCCCACTAAATTGATTTCACAACCCATTAATAGGTTGTGACCAGCCTTTGGGAAATTTTGCTTTACATGTTGGGTTGGGACTAGCTAAATAGTCTCTTTTCACCTAAACAAATGCATAAGCATCCATTTTAATAACAATTGATAGCAATAACAATAGATAGGTATGAAGAAAAACATTGGAGGCAGTTTGATGGCAGTTGTCTCTGGAAGAAGAATAAAACTATAGGATACTTAAATTTTATGTTATAGACATCTCTAATATTTTAATTTTCTATTATGAACATGTATTACTTTTGAAATCAAAGGAAAAAACATGAAAAAATACCACCAATTAAATACCATTTTCCTTTTCTGTGAACTTATGTAATTACGCTCCAAGCCCTCTGCCCAAGGGTCTACCACTGTTCGTCAAGGATTTGGAATTGAGAACTTAACCTTATTTTTTTTCCTTTCTGAATAATCATAGTAAGAACAAAAACAGGAACCCTCTACTATTCTGGCTGCTCGAACATCAAGTCTTAAATATTTTGAAATATTTGTGTATAAACATGTTCACAAAAATAGCTACCATTTTTTATTCAGTACCTACTGAGTATCAGACACTGTGATAAGTGCTTTACATGTATGTTATTCTAATCTTCATGACCATCACATGAGGTAGGCATGATTGTGACCTCATATTGTAGAGGAGGAAACTGAAGCTCAGAAGCAAGGAGAGAATCTAGAGTTTATCCAGGTCTGTTGATTCTAACGGTCATGTTCTTAACCATCATGCAAAGGGCAATGAAAATCACAACCATGACACTCACGACAAGCTGGTGTTTTCCTGTCATCTCCACCGGTTTCCCTGCTCTCATACATTCGATCAGCCAGGAGACATCGAGGAGCTCTAGCTGCGAGCTGGCTCTTATTTTCTGTACCTGAAGCCACTCCAGAACGTCTGAACCTGAGTTGTTCTCTGCTACAATGTGGGTGACAGAATCACTGCAAGATGCAAGAAAAATTAAAACAGCATTAGCCGGCCGGCCCAGTGGCGCACTGGAGAAGTGCGCCGCTTGAGAGCGCGGCGGCACTCCCAACGAGGGTTCGGATCCCAAGTGGAGACTGGTTCCCGCTCACTGGCTGAGCGCGGTGCGGGCGCAGCACCGAGGGTTGCGATCCCGTTACCGGTCAGTAAAAAAGACAAAAAGGAAAAAAAAAAAAAATTAATATTTACTATTATTATTATAATAAATAGGGTTTTGTCTAAACCTCAGAGGGAGAAGGGCTGGGGCTCAATTGCCATCACCATCCCTCCACTCTCTTATCACCCCCCACTGCCTCTTCTGCTGGGATTCCCCGGGATGGCCTGGGATGTCCGAGCTCACACTATTGAATGGGAACCACATGCATTTCTCAGTTAATATAAGCAAATTTGTGGTTGGCAGGCTGTACATCATATGAAGGAAGACTGACTTAAATTTCCAATTCCTGCTCATTAAGCAACTGGCAAGCAAAACAAAACAAAACAACAATAATAACAAGCTCACAAAAAAAAAATCAATCAAACAAAACCTCTTAAGCCAGTCCTGCTCAGAGTTCAGTACTGCTTGTCCCTGGTTCCCAACAAGGTAAGTACAAAAATTGTAAGTCAACATTTAGAAACTTTAATTGTAATTTGATATCACCGCAATAGTTTTACTGTTTTTTTTTAATAGAGGCATTGGTTGGTCTGCAACAAAGTTTTTGAAAACTTGTCCTTCACTACAAATAATTTAAGAAATACAGATTTAGAGAATAACCTCTGTTTGGACCAGTCCTTGTTTTCCATCTTCCTGTGCTGCCTGAGTTCAGCTGATCCTCTCCATGTGGCCCCATGGATCTGGGCTGCGATGTGCTTCCTTGTGTTGGGGTTGTCATTGGCCCCTTGCAGACAATTTAGTCTCTGACTGTGCATTTGTTCTCTTTCAGTTCTGAGCCCTTACCAAACAGTATTACTAAGGAGACTCGCTGCCTCCAGTGTGCTCTGCTGACAACTTCTTATTTCTGTGTCTATAGCAGCTCTTTGTCTATTTGCTAGTACACTGGTTTTCACTCTGAGCATTCCAATATTGAAAATATTAATAATATAGGAATATTTCTATGTGCCAAATACTAGGTAGGCACATTTCATGTATTACCTCACTTAATTATCAATAATGCTTTGAGGTAGGTATTATCATCTCCATCCAAAAATGAAAGAGAGTGCCTTAGAGACATTAAAAATCCTACCCATCTAATAACTGGTGGAGCAGGGATTTGATCCTAGGTCTGTTTTAATCCACAGCCTGTGTTCTTGACCATCTGTGAGCTGAAAATCTGTGACTTTGTGCTTGTTCTGTGGCCATGGAGGCAGCTGCTCACTTCCCTCCTTTCTGCAGAAGAAATCACATCTGGATGGGTATCATGATAATAAGAAAACCAATTTCCTCCAAAGGGCAGAAATATAAGCGGAATAACACTTCCTATATAACGCTATTAGACACATTGCCCCTGCTGCTGCCACATAGAATTTATGTTTCCTCTCTTATATACAATATCATATGGGTTACAGTAATGCTGCATGACATGTAGAGCTGTCCCCCAAAAATCTGAAAGAACAGATGCCATAGCAACATGCTAAGAAGGACAAGCCACAGGGAGGCTATTGGGCTCTCTGGGCTCTGGGCCCCTGGCCATCCACTCTTACCACCCTGCTTTACCACCACGTCTCCTCACCTAGAATTCCTCTGGACATAGCCTTGCCTCTGACAGGGACAGCAAAAATCTGAAAGAACAGATGCCATAGCAACATGCTAAGAAGGACAAGCCACAGGGAGACTATTGGGCTCTCTGGGCTCTGGGCCCCTGGCCATCCACTCTTACCACCCTGCTCTACCACCACGTCTCCTCACCTAGAATTCCTCTGGACATAGCCTTGCCTCTGACAGGGACAGCCAGAATGCCTGGTGTGTGTGTGGGGCGGGCTGCTTTAAAACAACCAACTATTATAAATACAGTTGGCCCTCTGTATCCCCAGGCTCCATGGATTCAACCAATCCTGGATTGAAAATGTTTGGAGAAAAATTAAAAAATCACAATATAACAATAAAAAATAATACAAATAAAAAACTACAACATAACAACTATTTACATAACATTTACATTGTATTAGGTGTTATAAGTAATGTAGAGATGATTTAAAGACTATGGGAGGATGTGCATAGATTATATGCAAATACTACACCATTTTATATCAGGGACTTGAGCATCCATAGATATTGGAATCTTAGGGAGTCCTGGAACCTGTCCCCCGAGGATGCCAAGGGATAACTGTACTGATATGTACAAAAGAAAAAGACTAGAAAGAAATACTTCAGACCATTAGCAAAAATATAACTGCAGACACACACGTATATATTCTTACTTAATCCTCACAGCAGCTTTATGAGGTGGGCAATATAATTTCCAATGAGAAATGCAAGACCTAGAGACGTTACATGAAACCAAGATTCAAACCCAGGTGTGCCTGATTCAAGCAACCTCTTAACGTTCTACCAGACTGTAGTTAGACCCCTGAGGGAGGTTTATTTTTTTGTTTGAGATACTTTTCCCATTTTTTGTCATGAACTATCTTTCATCACTTTTCTACTTAGAGAAAAAATGAATGTCATTTTCAAGGACAAATAAATCTGGGATGGGGCTAAGGTAGTGTCTGCCTTGCTGATGGAGGCCTGGGCTTCCTTGTCAAGTGAAGAAACCCTCAGTAGCCTCCTTCATCCTCTTCCAAAGACCCCGAGATGCCGCTGAGATGACTATTCCTGAAATATCAGTGGATTCAATTCTTTAAGTACACCTAGTTTCTTTGCCATGACCAGTCACTAATGTCTTGCTAAGTTTGGGAGGTCTTGAACCAATTATAGCAATTCTGAACTAGGATTTGTCCCTCAGCTTCCTACAGGGAGGAAGAATCAGAGTCTCTTTCAACTAGTGATGACTGTCACATGCTTGGCTTGGTCCTTGGTGTCCCTGAGGGCAAGGACAGTGGCATTGTTGCTGGGTTATAACCATACCTGGCACTCAACACATGGCCAGACTCATAGTAATGGTCAATAGATGTTGGCAGAATGAATAAATGAATTAATTGATCAATTGCTCTAGAGCAATGTCTCTCCAACTCTAGTGTCCACCAGAGCCACCCAAGGAGCTCGGTTAAAATTCAGATTCCTGAGCCCCATTACCAGAATTCAGATCATCTAAGTTGCACCTGAGGTCCAGGAATATGCATTTCGACCAGTTTCATTAGTAATTCTGATATAATCGGTTTGTTCTAGCTCTCTACTGATACATAACCAACAATCCCAAATTTAATAGCTTAAAAAGGCAACAACTTTATTATATTTCACAATTCTGTGGGTCAGGGATTCAGGCAGGCTTGGCTGGGTGATCCTGCTGCAGTGTATGGTGCTGGTGAGGTGCTGATGGTCTGTATGGTTCCACATCCTGGGACCTTGGCAAAGATGGCTGGAGGCTGGGCTTAGCGTTCACTGTTCACCTGAGCACCTTTACATGGTCTCTCTAAAAGGGAACTCCTCTCACATGAGGCTCTGTAGTCCCAGAGCAAGTGTTCTAGGGAGCAGGCCAGAGCCTCATGGCCTCAAATGACCCACCCTCAAAAGTCACACAGTGTTACTTCACTGTACCCTATTGGTTGAAGCAGTCACTAGCCTTCCCAGAGGCAAGGAAAAGAAAAATAGTCCCAGCCTCTCCAGGGGAACAACCATATTTTAAAACCATCCCACGGCCCCAAAACTGCACTTTGAGAAACACCGCTATAGAAAAAGATCTCTTGAACTTCCCAGCCTAGATTTGATCCCCATGCTGGCCTTTGAGCTTAATTACAGCCACGTTTTCCAGTGTGGTCCTCCTGTCCCTGCCGGTACATGAGATCACTGTAGGGGGTTCACAATGGAGCACTTAAAAAGCCTATGTGTTTATTAATATCTATATTTTTAAATGATGCATGTTAGACAATGGTTTTTATGGATATTATTCCTTAGGGCAAAGGTAAATTTCTTTTAATGATTCAATTTAGGGACAATTAAAAGAAACACATTAAAGTGTATAATAAATACATGTGGTAAAAGATGTTACAAGAATTATGAACGTGGCACTCGCATATCCAGAAAGCCCTGGGTTATGGGATTAAGTCACAAATCTCAGTTCAGAAATTTTTTTCTCAGTTCCCAGTTTCCCTGCTCCTCCTGCCTTTCTTTTCTTAGTTGGTCCTGCCTCTTGGTATAATTAGAAAACCCTCCATGAAGAAAGTGGCAGTCATCCTTCCCTGTTTGGACACAGACACCCTCCTCCCCCACCCTCCCCCCACCTCCTAACTTTCCCAGGCTGATTGGATAGTCACCTACTTTTATCTTTGTCTTTAAAACTGTTTTCTTTCCCAGGAGAGGTTATTCCTGATTCTTCCCATCTGTTGTAGGAATTATTTTGTAAACAATGACTTTCAATAGTCATTTACAGTTAAACTGAGCTGTTTGCAGTTTTAAAACCCTCTTGCCAATTTCCCTTAGCAACAGATCTGTTTCAGAATCCTTGAAACAGAAAAATCAAGTCATTTTATTTGGTTTTATCTCACACTATTCCTAGCACCAATAAAAACAGGTTTCTATTTTCAGCCCTGCAATACTTATGACTTAGAGAGTTTTGCCTTAATTTTTTGGCCACCTTAAATGAGATTATAAAAATTATCACTACTTTAAAGCCCACCAATTTTGAAATAGAAAGAAATCTGGACCAGAGCAAGACTACAGTTTACATTCCTTGCTGTTGAATTTATAAAAATAAAGTCTTTATTATGCTGCTGATTATAAAAGTAATACTCATGCATTGTAGAAAAAAATGTTTTAATTATAAAAATCACTCTTGGTAAACACAATTTCCTTGGGTTCATTTCATATTCTCCAGATAAATCA